GGCTATTTGAAAGATTTGATATCTAAAATGTCTACTGGTTTTTATATATTGCTATCGTACATCTTGTGAACTATCAAGGACTTAGATCAATTCTTCTAATACTGGTAACTGATTGAGGGTGAATACAGATTTAGTCCTTCCTTTGATCAATAGCATATGTATGTCACAGAACAAGGGAATACGCTATGTTTTGGAAAAAACAAACTAGCTTACACAGAAGTGAACCTACAACTTGAGCCTTGCTCATGCTCTAGACCGAAAAGCCTAGGCTTCTAAAATTTTTAGTAAAATTCAAAGAATTTAAACAAGATAAAAATCAAGATAACCCATTTTTATTTTTATTTTAAGCCAGCAGTTCCCAAGGAAACATTTTATTTCTGATAATAAATGGAATCTTATTATCACAACACTTTGGGGATAGATTATAAGTTCTTCTAGGGCAGAACCTCAACTTATTATACCTGATAAGTCTCCCTAAACCCATTTTCATTGATGACATAAAACCTACTATTTTTTTTTAATTTTATTTATTTGACAGTGAGAGAGAACACAAGTAGGCAGAGAGATAGGCGGAGAGAGAGGGGGAAGCAGGCTCCCTGCTGAGCAGAGAGCCCGACTCGGGGCTAGATCCCAGGACCCTAAGATCATGACCTGAGCTAAATGCAGAGGCTTAACCAACTGAGCTATCCAGATGCCCCTAAAACCTACTATTTATAGTTTATCATATCTTTTATTTTATTCATTACTTCTCAAGTGACACTAGGAAATGTAGAACTTCAAGGTCCTAAAGAAAAAGCAAGCACTTTTAAAAACTACCTTTTTTTTTAGCTTCTCATCTTCCCTGTTATGGGTACAAGGCTACACTTTTCACAAGATATATTGCATTCAGTTCAAATCAGCCCAAATTTTCGATGGTATACACTATGTTTAGCATACTACCAGTGCTATAGTAAGAAATTTTTTTTCTACAGAAATTTATGTGTGAAAAGTCAGACCTGGTGTCTAAAGTTAAAAAAAAAAACACAGAAGCACTATATAATTCAGTGCTAAAAAAATTATCTATATTAAATATCAAACTAATGAGATATTTTATAAATTTTACAAATTTATAAAATTCATTAATGTCTTGGAATTATGCTGCTTCTATGAATTTCTACTGCTTATACTGTTATTAGTCCCTTAAGGAGATTTACTCTGTAACGTTAATAGGAATAAAAATGAAAGCAATTTCTTCCATGATGCATAGAATGTTTTTAAATTGTCGCAAAGTACCCTGACATACTTCCAACAACTTTCTACATTCCAATTCATATTTCCATTCTCCCTCCACCCATCTTCATCTTTTTGATTTGTGGCCATCTTATCCCCACACAACGGAGGAAACTTTCTTTTTGTTTGGCAGATACCGTATTAGTGGTTTTGGTATAGTTAAAAACATCCAGTGCATCTGGATGGCTCAGTCATTAAGCATCTGCCTTTGGCTCCGGTCATGCTTTCAGGGTGCTGGGATCGAGGCCAACATCGAGCCCCACATCGGGCTCCCTGCTCGGCAGGAAGCCTGCTTCTCCCTTTCCCACTCCCCCTGCTTGTGTTCCCTCTCTCTCTGTCAAATAAATAAAATCTTAAAAAAAAAAAAAAAAAAGTCCAGATTGTGAGTGAGAAGTTTAAATGAAATAAAAATATTCTCCTATTTTTCTGATAAAAAAATTAAATGTCTAATCAATCCATCATAACACACACACACACACATATATAAGCACAAAGAATGAATGTTTGTTTTAAAATCTTCAGAACTGCCTTATGAGTAACTACAAATACAGTGATTATGCACAACAGTTACCTATAACTGAAAGACTGTATGCTACATACATATCACTGATTTAGATTTTTGCTGAATGCACAAACGGGCTGAACTAATTCTATGTATTATTTTATACTATTAATTCACACTGCCATTTCTATACTTTTTAAGAACATAAAAAAAAGATGAAACTTCAAAAGTTTATTAACAAATAGATACTCATTAAAGTATTTTCAGTAAATATAGTGACATATAAAGGTTACTTTAGTAATATGTGCATTATGTTTTATATTACTTTGGTTCAAAGATGAAATAACTAGACCTAATTTTTAAAGAGGATTTTCCTGGATTTTTATTATAAATACTGTGAAGCAAAGTATGTTTTTATAGGTCTTGAGTTCATGCACGATATGTTTCTGGGATCAGAGCCCAATAGAAAAACATTGCTATTCACTGGGGAACAATATTTAATAGCAAAAAGAAAAAGAAAAAACAGGATGGAGAGAATGAGAAAGAAGAATAAACAAAAAGATGGACAAATGTAAAAGGTTTATGGTAAGTTGGAAAAAATATACTTGGGACAAAAACATTGACACAGTTTATGATACTTATATTAAAAACATTTTATTTGCTGAAAAAATAATTCTTAAAAACTAAAGTAGTCAACATCACAAGTTAAAGTAGATTAAATGATGTATAAAGCAAGATTACACCTCTTATTTGACTACATTTGAAAAATTTATTTTTTCCCTAATCTAAAAGCAGTCTAAACCTAACATGGCCATACCTGTTGAAATGTCTTAATTAGGGAAATTAACTGCAGAAATTCAAATACTCTAATTCTGCCTCAGTATTTCTTAATGCAATAGGTTCAGTTCGAGATCTTTAAAAAAAGAATGATTTGTTCTCAAAAGTTCAGGCATTCCTGTACCAGAAAGCAATCGTTGAATCAAATAAGCACTATAATTTGATAGAAGTAAACCTTTATATAAAGTGATGACATGGGGCGCCTGGGTGGCTCAGTGGTTTAAAGCCTCTGCCTTCGGCTCAGGTCATGATCTCAGGGTCCTGGGATCAAGCCCCATATCGGGCTCTCTGCTCAGCGGGGAGCCTGCTTCCTCCTCTCTCTCTGCCTGCCTCTCTGCCTACTTGTGATCTCTGTCAAATAAATAAATAAAATCTTTAAAAAATAAAAAATTAAAAAAAAATAAAGTGATGACATCATGGAAGAAAGAACCTACTGTGAAAATATTAGGTAAATGGGTTTCAAAGACATTAAATTCTGGATATCTTAAAGAATCCCAATAATACATGAAATTCCTCAGATCCTCATTTATAGTGAGAAATCCATTTCCAAGCATATGTGCACAAGTACCTTAGCCTCTTCATGCCTGCTTGCCTGTCCCCCAGTCAGAGAAGGCAGGATATTTGGTTAGGCATATGTTTATGAATAAAGACAGGAAAATTCCAACTTTAAAACCAAATATTTTCCTTGTTTAATTCTGGTATCTTATTGGTCCATATGCTGCCTCCTCCTCACAGTATGGTACCCTCCTCACAGTATGCTACCCGAATCTCCTGGATTTTGACTTTCTTTTAAAACATAAGGATTAACATCAAGCAGACAGAATTGAGGAGTGGAAATATTGTATGAGAAAGAAGACCAAAACTGATGATGATCTATATACATACTGACACTCTTGCTGGAGACATGAGGTGCTTCATAAATGCTTACTGAAATGCTGCTTTGTGACATTTGTTGTGGTAAATTCATCCCCCTCTCTAATTTAAGAATCTTCATAAATTAACCACCATCAGTTCAGTGTGTCAAACATCTGGTGGCACTTTTAATTGCTAAAGGACAGCACTTCAACACGCTATGCCTGCCTCCGTACCACTGCAGCAGGAAAAGATGAGGTTACCACAGAGAAGCAGAGAGAGGTATCAGGAGAGTTCCTGAATACATCATTTGGTTATATGGATTTGGTCATACCCAAGGCCAGCCCCACTCCTAGATTTTCTACAGAATGCCCAGACAGTCCTTTTTTCTTTCTGTCTTAAGCTAGCTGGATTTCAGTTTCTATAATTTACAACAAAGAAACACTGATATAGATTGCCTGTCCATTAAAAAAAAAAAAAAAAGAAAGAAAGAAAATATTGTTTCTGCCTCCACATATTCATATGTAAATATCAGATCCCCATCAATAGCCTATTATAGTAATTGACAAATGTGGCTGTGACTATCAGGAAAAGAAATAATATATTGAGAAATAATCTTAATCCATATTAAAGATTCATAATACAAATTATAAAGATTCTCAGAAGTTATCCAGTAAAGAAATCTCAGTTGAATTCACATTTACAAATCGTATTTCAGCACAGAATCCTTTTTTTTTAAATGAAAAGACAGTAGTCTTTTAGAACTACTAACCAGTAGAACACAGGTTGGGAAATGTTACTTAGAAACACAGCTATGGTGCGCCTGGGTGGCTCAGTGGGTTGAGCCGCTGCCTTCGGCTCAGGTCATGATCTCAGAGCCCCGCATCGGGCTCTCTGCTCAGCAGGGAGCCTGCTTCCTCCTCTCTCTCTGCCTGCCTCTCTGCCTGCTTGTGATCTCTCTCTGTCAAATAAATAAATAAAATCTTTAAAAAAAAAAAAAAAAAGATCTTTAAAAAAAAAAAAAGAAAAGAAACACAGCTATGATCCCCTAGATGCAGAATCTAAAGAAAAACTGGAAAAGTTTTCCTAACTGCTTTCTAAAATATTTATTTTTTAATTTTTTTTACTTTCATTTTTTTTTTTTTAATCAAAAAGAGAATTTTTTTCAGTGAGGCCAAAACACTGGGCAGACAGTGGACTAGTGTCTCAAACACTGTCTTCAAAGTGTTGAAAACCCTTCTAGGTTTTTATCAGGAAAATGTGGGCCAAAGTTTGGTGGACACGTGCAGCAAGGGCAGCAAAGGTCAGGTTGATCACTGTCTTGAGGGTCAATCACACGGGGTCTTGCTGGCTGCGGGCAGTCCTTATTGCTTGAGGGGGTAGTTTCAGTTCCCATGGGGGATACTCCGCCCACAGGGTCTTTTGTGTGATTAAAAGATAAAATGTGCTTTCTAATATATTTAAAATATACCAGGAAAAGATCAGAGAACTCATATTTAAATAGAAAAGTAGTTCATCTTCTAGACTGAAACTAACTTACCTGCATTGAAATAAGAATGAAATCAATTAGGCTCCCGATTCCACAAAACCCTACTGTGCAAAACTTTAACAAACCTGAAAAAAAAGATAAAGTCACTTAAAATTTGGAAGTCTTATAAATATTAACTTTTCTATTTCCTAGTAAACCATTAGGTATACTATACCACAAACTCTTTATATATCAAGAATATAAAATTAACACTTTAAAAACTCAAATCTTCACCTGAAAATGAGAAAGGTTTTAAAAAAACCCCTCTGTAGGGGTGCCTGGGTAGTTCAGTGGGTTAAAGCCTCTGCCTTCGGCTCAGGTCATGATCTCAGGGTCCTGGGATCGAGCCCTGCATCAGGCTGTCTGCTCAGCAGGGAGCCTGCTTCCTCCTCTCTCTGCCTGCCTCTCTGCCTACTTGTGATCTCTCTCTGTCAAATAAATAAATAAAATCTTTAAAAAAAAAACAACAAACCCCTATATAGAAAGCCACAAAAAATTAATTCACTTAACAAATAAGTATTATGAACTGAAATAAAAACTCAATATAATCTTACAAAATTTCTTACAAGTCCTAAAGAAATAAATCTTTAAATTGCATTACTCCAGAGCCATAGAATATATCTTAGTCCTTATTTATTTATTTAGGCTTAACATATTATGTGATTGAAATTTTAATACACATTTACATTAGAAAGTTCAAACAAATAAAGATGGTCAAGTCGCAGAAAAAATAACCAAGATAAAACTTTGATCTTATAGTTAAACTGCAAAATTTTATTAGCAACCCAATTATCGTTATCCTATACTTAATTATCTTAAATTTATCCTATATTTTTTAGGAAAAAAGCATCTCATGTTCATTAATTCTATAATCAAAATCAACAATTCTATGCACTGTATATACCTCTGCCTTCTATCACAACCCTGGAACAAGGGTACTGAACAGATCATTACAGAACATAGAATCTAGGACATACACAACGATATAACACAAAACCATGATGATGGAATAAAGAGACAGGTTGGGGGTGGGGGTGGGATGAGTAATCCCTCTTCTATATTTAAACTTAATTGCTTTCCAGACATATAAAAATGGTAGGAAACAAGACTCTTCGTGAAAGGGTAGTTCTAAGTATCAACTACAAACAGATGCCAGCTGAAATCACAAGAGTGGATGAGATCACCTCCCGCACACAATTTGGAAGTATACAAATAAGACTGAAATATATAAGTACCTTAGACTTTTTATCATTAGACATATCGCAGAATAATGTTGTAAGTACAAAGATAACACATGATCGAAATTACTTTAAAACTATAATATAGAGATTATATAAAATTTTGCTTTCACTTTTCTTCAAAACACTTGTTATGTTACCTAATATTTTATATTTGTTCTACCTGTCTCATGGAAGTCCCACTAGGGGAGGATCTTTCATCTGGTTCATTTACTCCTGTGTCCTTAGTACCTACAACACCACGTGCCACAAAGTAGATGCTTGATATTTGTAAAATGAATGGATAAGTTGTCTCAGCTTTTGTTTCCTAAAGACCTCTAACTTTTTAGCCATTATCTTATATAACAACTCCTTTAATTATTTTTTTCAATAGTTGCATTTTATTATAGTAGCCCAGGGAACCTGATGAACTCAACTGGTATATTCTATCCTTCACTCATTCATTCAATTTCTGAAATGTATCCCTCTTCACACAGCAATTTAATGTAAATTTGGAAATGTCACAAAGATTGCCTTTTTCAATTTTCTTATAACAATATTAATTTTAAGAATGGTTCTGCAGCACATGGGTGGCTCAGTCGGTTAAGCTCAGGTCATGATCTCAGCCCCATCCAGCTAAGTGCTGGGCACTAAGCCTGCTTAAGATTCTCTCTCTCCCTCTGCTCCTTCCTCAATGCCCCCTCCCTATTAAAAAAAAAAAAAAAAGTTTTTCAAAAAGAGTTTTTTTTTTTAATTACTTGCTACCCTATTAAGAAAACATAACCATGTCAGAGCCTTTGCTCTTGTCATGAACCTTTCCAACAATATTCTGTAGATCTTCTCATTTCTCGGGCTACTTCTTCAGAGAAGTCTAACCTGCCTATCTAAAGCAGCACGCCGCTTCCCCCAAAGCCCCTTGCCCTATCACATCACCCCTATTTATTGCCTTTTTGGTGCTGATTAAAAATCTGTAACAGCCTCATTTGCTGCTTTGTTCATTCATTCTCTGTTTTCGTCTGCCATGTAAATTCCTCAAGACAGGGTCCTTATCATACTCAAGCCAATTCCATGAACAGTACCTGACAGACGGTAAGAGTTAGATAAATATTTCTTGTATGACTATCAAAAAACTAGCAACAATTTAAATGTTTAACAGAGAGGAATTATCTCAGAAAAATCAAGGTATACCTAATAAGAGAGAATATTATACAGCTGTTTAAAAGAATGACATAGAAGTATATTTATTGGCAAAGTAATGTAATAACACTCAAAAAGAAAATGATAATGAGTCATTAAAATCTGGATATTCTGCTGCTGAACCCCTTCTTTTTTATAAGATTTTATGTATTTATTTGACAGAGAGAGAGATCACAAGTAGGCAGAGAGGCAGGCAGAGAGAAAGAGGGGGAAGCAGACTCCCTCCTGAGCAGAGAGCCCAGGCAGGACTCGATTCCAGGACCCTGAGACAATGACCCGAGCCGAAGGCAGAGGCTTAACCCACTGAGCCACCCAGGTGCCCCTGCTGAACCCCTTCTTAAGGGTGCTTCAGAAAAATGAATAGGAGAGGTTCCTGTTCAGATAAAATATTAGATAAGGGCATGACATGTGTGTTTGGAACTTTGGTGAGTGTCACCTACTCCTGAAGTCACACATTTAAAGAAACTATAGAACAGATCCAAGATGATATTTTAGCAATCTGCAAACTGAACTACAGTGACAGATAGCAGATGAGTATTTGCTTGGGAAAGAGAAGGATAGGAGGGCCAAGAAGTAGGGATTACAAAGAGCAGGAGGAAGCTTTGGGGAGTGATAGATATGGTCATTATCTTGATTATGGGGACTGTTTCATAAGTGTATACATATGTCTAACTTATCAAACTGTACATTTAAAATATGCATTTGTATATTTAATGGGGCGCCTGGGTGGCTCAGTGGGTTGAGCCGCTGCCTTCGGCTCAGGTCATGATCTCAGGGTCCCGGGATCGAGCCCCGCATTGGGCTCTCTGCTCAGCAGGGAGCCTGCTTCCTCCTCTCTCTCTGCCTGCCTCTCTGCCTGCTTGTGATCTCTCTCTGTCAAATAAATAAATAAAATCTTAAAAAAAATAAAATAAAATAAAATATGCATTTGTATATTTAAAATATACAATTTTTAATTACATTTAAAATAATTTTTTAAAAGATTTTATTTATTTATTTGTCAGAGAGAGAGAGAGGGAGAGAGAGCAAGCACAGGCAGACAGAATGGCAGGCAGAGGCAGAGGGAGAAGCAGGCTCCCTGATGAGCAAGGAGCCCGATGTGGGACTCGATCCCAGGACGCTGGGATCATGACCTGAGCCGAAGGCAGCTGCTTAACCAACTGAGCCACCCAGGCGTCCCACATTTAAAATAATTTTAAATTACATTTAAAATATGCATAATGTATATCATTTGTACCTCAATAAAATGCTGCTATTTAAACTTGTTTTAGCTTTCCAAATATAAAAATATTTTATGAAAATAAAATAGGAAGGACACTAAGGGTTAAAGGAGATAGAGAAAAAGTAAAAACTCAGAATAGTACATGGCACATGGCAAATACTTAAATACTTAATTTAATTTAAATACTTAAAATGTTAGCCCAGTCTTTACATCTCCTACCACTGTTTCTACTATTCCTACAATTACTATTCACTGAGAAATGCAGACAACATAAATTCACATTCTTTTTTTTTTTTAAAGATTTTGTTTATCTATTTAACACAGAGAGAGAGAGAGAGATCACAAGTAGGCATAGAGGCAGGCAGAGAGAGAGGGGGAAGCAGGCCCCCACCGAGCAGAGAGCCTGATATGGGGCTTGATCCCAGGATCCTGGGATCATGACCTGAGCAGAAGGCAGAGGCTTAACCCACTGAGCCACCCAGGTGCTTATAAATTCACATTTTTTATAGTAGAATCTTTATAGTAGAATCATCTAACCTAGTCTCATACCTTACCAATTCCTTCTGGCTGGGTTATTCCCAAACTACTCGAAGATCCCTTCTAATGCACTGTGTTCTCCTATTCTCCTCGGCCATCTCTACATTTACATGTGCTACGCTAGTCTCTGCCTTGACTCCTCCTCTGACCACCTCCACCCACCTTTTTCCAATCATCTAGCTAACCCCTAAGAGTCATTTAAAAATTCTAAAAAGCCTTCTCTAATATCCCCAGGATGATTTTTTTTTTAAAGATTTTATTTATTTGACAGACAGATCACAAGTAGGCAGAGAGGCAGGCAGAGAGAGAGAGAGGAGAAGGAGGCAGGCTCCCTGCTGAGCAGAGAGCCCGATGTGAGGCTCGATCCCAGGACCCTGGGATCATGACCTGAGCTGAAGGCAGAGGCTTTAACCACTGAGCCACCCAGGCGCCCCTCCCCAGGATGAATTTAAAAATATTTCTAGATGCTCCCCAGCCCTGCCCTTAACTTTCAGTACTGCACATGTATCATGGTATGACTTACTATGCATTTTTATTTATTTGTCTTCCCCTTCTCTTCTGTGAGCAACTGGAAGTCAGTGCTGTGTCATTCCCCTAACTAGTCATTCTGACTACTGAAGAAACAAACTATATCAAGAGTAAATTATCTTATCTGCAAAAAATGATCAACTTGAACAACACAAAGTAGCATACATTCTAAACAGCATTTATTAAAACCAATACAAACCATTATTCTTATAGATTTCATTATTTTGAGCATAATACCAGTTTTTTTTTTAAAGTGAGGTTATTTGTGAACTACCAAAAGTAGACTCACTTTTTTTTTCAAATCAAAAAGTGTCTCTTTGTACAGACATGATTTACTAACATCTTACTATGAAAAGGAGTATCGGTTTTCGATTTTAAAAACTGT